AGCTATATTTCTTGAGACGACCGTATCATAAACTGAAAAATCCGTTCCTACTGACGGAACTTAAGGCTTTAAAACAGCAGCATTTGGGACTTAGCGACACAGTACGGATGATGAAAACGGTCTTCAGTTTGCAACTCATTTCTACGATAATTATGTGCTTCACTCAAATCACTCTCTATTTATATTTTTTGTTAGTGCAAGTAGTACAAGGAGCTGTGAATATAAGCAATCTGGAAAAACAGTTCTATTTCGAGAGCTTCATAGCAGTTGTAACATATTACATTATAAAACTATTGTTAATAATATGGGCTTGCCAAACCGCCAAAAATCAAGCTATGGAAATCAACAACACCGTTCTTGACTTGTTTAACAGTATCAATGATAAGGAAATAAAATACGAGGTATAAAATTTATAAAATTATCATTTAATTTGTATGTTCTTGTATGTAAATTTTTGTAATTATGGCATGCGTTAATACGATTTTTAATATAATAATTTAGCAGATACATGTTTTTGAATCCTGCTTTTAATAATTTTTTTATTTGATGTTGCAGTTAAAGCTATTTTCTTTGCAATTAATGCATCATAAAATTAAGTTCTCCGCAACGGGACTTACTGTGGACGCTACACTTCTCGTTACGGTGAGTGATTAATTATTTGAATTCATAAAATAAATGTAGGAAATATTTAGTTGTATTTCTGATTTTATTCTTTTTTAGATGATGGGTAGCATTGTCACGTATCTATTAATTTTGATACAATTCCTGTTTATGTCGAATTCTTGCAATGAAAAAGCTTTAAGCAATATTACAGCAGTATAATTTAATTAATAAAAAATTCCTAGATTAAATCTAAAAGATATTTTAAACATTAATTATTTTAGTTTTTATTATTGTGATGGAAACGTCATTATTTTTATTTTCTCGGATGTTTTATGCTTATAGATATATTTACATTATATATGTATGTATACAAACTTTTAAAGATGTCACATCATATATATGTTAATAATCATTAACAAACAGATGATTTTATTTATTAAAATATTCAATTTTACACAGTAATGTTGCCGTTTTTGAGAAATATGTTAACATAAAGATTGAATATACAATTATACAATTTCCTTATGTAATGCAAATATTTCTGAAAAATATCACTTTAATCTTATTAAATACGTTACACAATAATTTAAAATTTTTAAGTTATTTTTATTATTTTTTAATTATTATCGATTAATAAATTCAAATTAATTTAATTTAATTAGTGAAATATATAATATATATATTAACAACATGAGGTAGTAGAGAGCAGATGCATTTCTGATGATCATAGCAAATTGGAAAGATCTTATAATGAGCCATACAATACATTGAAAACGCAAATACAATTACTTAATTGTCTTATCAAGTTACATTATTTTTTATCAGTTGCAATAAGAAAATTTTTCAATTACATTATGTTGATCAAATATACTGTTCGTTTCATTTAAAGTAAGAATTTTTCATTCTTTTCCTGACTTTATATCAGCACGATATAATATTTACATTGTATTCACCTGTATATGAATTTAATGGATGATAAAGGAATATCTTGATACCGTTCATTCGCTTTAAAAATGATCTAGATGCGCATGATTATAGGTTACACAGTTAATTATATGTCAGTACTTTAGGCGTGTTCCGGGGATAATAAGTGAAAAGCCATGGTTACTTTACGACTAACAAATTCCTGTGTCCTTTTTCGCTATACAATGCAATAATTGTTAGTAGTTCTAAAATTAAACTTGCCAAGTGCAGGTATACTGCAAGAAGTTTATGTCGGTTTTCCGCATTTGCTGTGGAGACAAAAGCTTATCCTTGGAAAAGAAATTCTTGTAAACATATTACTGCATAATATGCTTTAAAGTGCATTGAAAATATAATTATAATCTCTGGTTAGAGACCCTTGGGAGACTCTGATTTAGATTATTCTCTTTTAATATTTTGGCGAACATGTTCAATCCGTCACCGAAGTTTCAAGCAGTCAAAAGTAAACGAAGGGGAAAAATATGGCAGCTATTCCGCGCCACGGATTTTGAATCGTTGATGTATCCTTGCTTCACTTTTTGTCGCATTTTGGGAATATTTCCATATAAGATCAACGCTTCAACCATTAAGATTTGCAAACCATGCTACATTCTGTCGACCATCGTTATCTGTATTTTTTGTGTTTACAATCTAATAAGTATTTATGATATCAATTTTGCGTTCAAAAGCATACCTAGAGCACTTGAACGTAACTGCTTCCACATTTTCGGCGGTTTTATAACAGTTATCACATTCATTTTGAGTGAACCACGAATGCGTCTACTTCAGACGATACTGAATCTCTCTTTGCGATTGCCTGAGGAAGCATATCAGAATTTGTCTAAACTGATCCATATCAAGGATATTTTTGGATTCATTTTACTAGTGGTTTTAGAATCAATATTACTTTCTAGAGCACAGTTTGATGGAATCCTACCCAAGATTCTGATACTGTACATCATTCTGCTGATATTTCAAATGGATATGCTGTACATGAATTGTGTTTGCGTATTAAAAGCATGTTTCAAGCAAATCAACGACAGTTTGGCAAATCTACGCGAACTTATGGCGAATGGTGAGCCATACCTCGTGAGGGGAACCTATTACAATCACAGAAATCCATTCCTACTGATGGAACTCAAAATTCTGGAAAAACAGCATCTGGCAGTCAGCGAGGCAGTACAAATGTTAAAAACAATTTTCAGTTTGCAACTTCTTTCTACAATAATTATGGCCTTCTTTTCAATCACTATCGACTTGTACTTTTACTTAATGCGAATACAAGGTGACGTGTCTATGTTCAGCCTGAAAACAATGGCCTATGTTGAAGGCTTTATCTGTAAGAGATTTACAAATGTAACATATCACGTTATAAAAATGGTATTAATAGTATGGGCTTGCCATACCGGTAGAAATCAAGCCATGGAAATCAACATCTCCGTTCACGATGTATTTAACAGCACTAGCGATGAGGAAATAAAATACGAGGTAGTTTAAATTTTAATGTATAATTCGCATATATTTTTCTAATTATATCTTGCTTATCTAATGCGATTTTTAATATATTAATTTGATGTATAACTTTCAACATTGTATTTATAATAATAATTTTCTGATTTGGCATTGCAGTTACGGCTTTTTTCCTTGCAATTAATGCATCGTAAAAATATATTCTTCGCAGAGGGTCTTATTATGGACGCTACGCTTCTTAAAGCGGTGAGTGATCAATCATTTGCTTTCGTTAAATAAATGTGGGTATATTTAGTATATTTCGTAATTTTGTGTTTTTAGATGGTGGGTAATATTACCACGTATCTATTAATTTTGGTACAATTTCTGTTAATATTAAATACTTGCGATAGAATATCATTACTCAAAGATAATTACAGTTAGAAATTGCTTTTAGAAATGTAAACACTTCAGAAAAAGATATTCAATTAAATATAGAAAAGATACTTTAAATATTAAATATTTATTTTTATTTTTATCATTGTAAGTAGAATATTATTGAAAGTCGCTTATTTTATGCTTATAAATATACTTGTATGTACACATGTGCAGTAACGAGTAGGAAAATTACGCGACTTTATTTTGTCTATATAATTATTGTCCACATTTTTTCAAAAGCATAACAGAGTTTTTATGGTACGATATGATGAATATTATATTGGAAATATTTTAAACCAATTTTCATGATATAAAGTTGAACATATTCGACGATATTTTTGCTCAGTTAGTAATTTTTTACTCTGTGATGAACAAATTAATTGACAGTATGCAAAATATATGTAAATGTAATAATTAAAGCTCGCGGTAGCTCGACTAAATATTAAATATATTTTTATATTATATTCCTATTTTATTGATTTTCTATACAGACACAAACAAAAAGAAAATAAAATTTTTCAAATTTCAATTTTTAAAAAGACCAATTTGTGATAATAATTTCTCTTGTTTAATGTTTTAATAAATTTTTTTAATATGTGGAGACTACGAGCTTTTTAATAATATTGAAAAATATCATTTTTACCATTTTTAAAGTATAATAAAAAATTTTAACTGCACATTTTTTGCTCACTATTGTATGTATGTATAGAGAAATTTGAAAATTTTATATATACTGCAATT